CAGTGGTACAGACAGTCTACATCAAGCAGAGACACGTTTGTGTGCATTTTATTTTGTGATTTCACCGGAACGAATAGAGTCTCCGACTGCGATGAAGCGCGCGTCCAAGTGAAGAATGTGCGCGAGCCACAATGAGTAAAACAATATTAACAATCTAGTAACTATTATTAACTAACAAGAAACTCTGATTAACTAGTAAGTAATAGCGCACAGGTGAAAGTGGTGCTTCACTATTAATTAACTAATCAATAACTACTATTTTTTTAATACAATCTAGTAACTACTATTAACTAAAATGAAACTCTGATTATGAATTAGTAAGTAATAGTGCGCAGATGAAAGTGTTACTACATACTTCTGTGGGAATTACTAATTATTTGGATCCGTATTATAAAGTGAAGATCACTGGAACTAACTAGTAATGACTCAAGTGTTACGACATGATCTAGTCATGATTTGTGCAACCAAACACTAAAGTCATTTCAAGCGTTTGAGATTTTTGGTGAACTTTAGTATACTTTTAGAAAATGTCTTTAGTAACACTTGAGTCATTACTAGTTAGTTCCCATGGTCTTCACTTTATAATACAGATCCAAATAATTAGTAATTAAAAAAAATAGTAGTTATTGATTAGTTAATAGTGAAGTACCACTTTCACCTGTGCGCTATTACTTACTAGTTAGTTAATCAGAGTGTCTTGTTAGTTAATAATAGTTAATAGATTGTTAATATTGTGTTACTCATTGGTTCTTGTGTAGTTATTCATTAACGAAGGAACCATATTCTAAAGTGTTACCCAACAGATTTAAGCACTAGATCTCTTATTTAATAGCGCAAACTAAATGAATGCTCTGCTAGTTAACTGGAGATGTTTTATTTATTTGTATTAGGTAAATCTGTCATTTATTAATTTTAATATTCATTAATGATCATGTCTCACCTCTAGTCTTCTCTGTCTTAATTTCAGGTTTCCACCATGTGTTGTAGATAGTTCAGGAGGAGGTTAACTTGACCAAGCAGTCTTTTGTTTTCTGCTAATTACTGTTTAGAATACCAGAATAGGGAGGATGATGTAGGTTTAAGTTTATTAGATTGATACATATATACCAACAAGACGGTGTACATCGCTGTCAGAACAGTGTTTGTTCTTAACTTAACACTCTTCAGTTTCTAATCCCAGAGTTATTAAATAGATGCAAAGAAAATATACTTCAGCTTTTAAAGATGTCTATGAAGATTCTCAGTCATCCAGGTCATAGTTATCCAACGAAGGTTAAAATCAAGGGCAACTGGACTTGGTTGAAGCTACTGGAAGACGTTTCGTCCCTCATCCAAAGGACTTCTTCAGTTCTGACTGACTGGCAGGGAAACTCAGCTATTTAACCTCAGTGTGTGTGTGTGTGTGTGGTGTGTGTGTGTGTGTGTGTGTGGTGTGTGTGTGTGTGTGTGTGTGTGTGTGTGTGTGTGTGTGTGTGTGTGTGTGTGTGTGTGTATATATATATATATATAGAGAGAGAGAGAGAGAGAGAGAGAGAGAGAGAGAAATATCTATAGGAGTATCAGATATGTATATTGCTGCATTGTTATTTTGAACACCACCCTATTTAAAGCCTTGTTCCATGGGCCACTTTTACACTCTGAGCACCTGCCTTTAACAAAGGTCCACTATTTTTAGGAAACCAACTGGCATCACCAGAATGCAGCTGCCAAGCTGCCACCTCTGTGAGAGTCGGAGAATGAGAAGATGACATAGGTAGAGGGTTAGTGCTGCAGGTGGGGGCACAGGGACACAGGACCTCTGTCGCTGTGATGAGCACATGGCATCAGGTGTCGAGTGTGTAACAGAGGAGGAGGGAGACACAGACAGAGGTCTTGAAGCTGCTCATCGCGATTTACATCCGATCATGAAGGCTGGAAGCAGAGTGAGAGGGTCCTGGTATATCTGACTAGAATGAGTTGTTGAGCGTAGTGTCAGTATGAGGATGTTGACTAAAAAAGGCACATCCTATCTAAAATAATAGACTGTGGTTCTTAGGTGCCTCTGAGTTACTCCTGTGAGGCCATGATGAAAGCGAAAGCTTTGTTATTTTCTATTAGGTTTTGTTATTTAAATTGATTAAAAATGTAATTCATTCATTTAAATACACTGGTGTGATACCTTAGTACGTTTGCTTTGTTTTTGGTATACTTGATTTTAACTGTCTGTCTGATATGTCTTCATACTCCTCATTTCTAATCTCCTTCAAATTAAAAGCCTCCAGTTGTCTCCTTTTGTCTCCTCTCACTGTGACCGTTTGGACTGAAGCTTTAGATTTGAAGCAGCAGAAATCAGCTCTAGGATCTTTGTTCATCACACTGGAGATGTTATTATGTGGACTGCATGAAGGCATGGCTGCTGTCGTCTTTTCCCAGATCAGTTGAGATAATTTAAATGATCTACGGTCACTTTAGGTCTACTTTGGAACCATAGACTGTACAAAAACTTGAAACTGACCTTTTTAATACAGCCACAGTTTGTGTGACAAGGAACAGAAAGGATTCATCCCTCAGAGACTGTGGTAGCGACCAGTGGTCTGTGTGGCAGAGACCAGACCACAGACTTGGCTACAAGCCCCTCTCCCTGAAGCTTTGGGGCTTTAGAAACAGAGAGCACAGTGACACCTGGTGGCTTGTAGAAATGATTACAACTCAACATTTACATTTATTCATCTCAGCTGACACTTTTATCCAAAGCGACTTACAATTGCTGTACATGTCAGAGGTCGCACGCCTGTGGAATCCAATTACAGATATTTAGGTGGTTTTCTAAAACAAAATCAGTTTTTTAATAAAACCAGGTGGATCAGAAAAACCTTAACTATGGAAACCTAATCTTTTATGTTGACTTTTGGCTGCAGATATCACCACACTGCAATAAACAATCATATATACATGTAAATCAAAACCAACAGAGGTATTGTGGTGGATGACAATTCGGTACTTGCTCCTTGACGCAGTTTGTACTAGTTTGCATCATGTAAGTGTGCAGTAAAACAACGCAACATCTCCCAGAAACAAACACTGCCAGTGAAACAAATCAGGTGGCTATAACATTTCTTTCAAAGGTGTGTAGAGACAGAGGCGACCGTGGAACACTGGGAGCAGCAGTGATCAACTCTCACAAACCCAGCAGCCTCTGGATGGACGATATGTCAGAGTCTCTGTGTGGTTTTCTCTACAGCTGCTGTGAGGAAACAGTTTGATATGAGAGAATTGATGAACCCCCAGACAAAACCACATGATCACATGGGAACAAAACACCGAGAGAAAAGCTCATTTGCTTTTATTTGATCTTTTGAGATTTAAAAGCTGCAGAGTTTCTTCTGAAACATGTGAAAACAAACATCAACAACACAACTTAAGCTGGAACCTGAAAAATCAGCTTTCTTTTGGACCAAAAACATGTTTGACAGCTTTGTATCATGAATCAAGTTCACCTGAGTCGGTCTTTCTATGAGTGATCAGGCTTCAATAAATCTGACAGAGTTAATCCTTAAAACAGCTCTCATGAGCCTGTCCTTCAAAGAAAAAACACTATAGACAATTTTAGCTACACAAAATAGGGACTCACATTTACATTTTTTGTGGCAGCGATCTCTAGTGGCTGTATCATCAAACACATGACTAAGACGGTCACATATTATAAAGAGCCAGAAAGTTCTGTGTTCGTGGTGGGTGAGGTGGGTGAGGTGGGTGGGTAGTAAGTTAGCCGCTTTTCACCCAAGAGGTCGGCTTTCGGCCCCACTATAAACAGGATTGATTTATTTTCTATGAAGTTACTTTGTAGCGTTAGAGACGTTAGCTAACGCTACAAAGTATAGGTCCGGTCAGGAATCCGAATCCAAAATTGCTGATTTAGGAGGCATGGACAAATGTCACCAATGGAGGCGCTTTTATTAGGATACGCTCATATGAGTCATTTTTGGAAGATGGTTAATACGACCTATGTTAACGCTTAGGTTGGAGGACTTGTTGGCTCTCACACAGCGGCTTACAGTAAAAGATTTGAAGAGTTTAAAGTGAGAATGACGCTGCGGCTGAAGTCTGACATCCAGAATTTAACATCATCTAGTCAAACTACAACATGAGGAGTTCCACAGGGAAGTGTTCTGGGTCCTCTGCTGTTTGTGATCTATGAAGGAAATCTGAGGTTTATTTGCTGATGACTCAAACATTTTAGCTTCATTAAGAACCAGAACACACTGAACACACTGGATCAGCTCAGAAGTGATGCTCTGTGGTGACAGCAGTGCTGACATATACATTCTCCAATCCCTCCTCAGCCTGGGTGGGCAGGGTCATCACCATGGAGACAGGCAGGTCATTTCCTGCAGTCAGAGCAGGTTAGAAATGTCTGTAATCATTTATCAGCTTCTCTTAGAGACAACTGTTAATAATCAACATAATTTGATTGAGTTATTGATTAAGTGATTGATATAAAGGTTAGTGAATTATTCAGTGTTTACCTGCGGCCCTGCGCCGATATAAAGAAACCATGAGGACAGTGGAGATGCAGTATGGACAGAACACCACCAGGTGGCAGACAAGTCTGAACACAAGCTGGGAGGAGGCTGAGACAGGAGGCGATGAAGGAGGAAGGGCTTCAGAGGGTGTCAGGTCAAAGATAGTAGTTGATGTTGAGGGCGGGGCTGCAGAGGTGGGCAGGATTGTAGTTGTGGGTGGAGCTGTGATTGTAGGTTTTTATGTAGAGAGAATCCACCTGGTCAGATGAGTCTCTGGATTAAATGAGTCCTGAAATCAAAGGAAACCTCCTCACCTGTGACAGAGATCCAGCTGGATGGAGACTCTCCACGACCTCTGATGTCACACTTGTAGAGGCCTTCATCAGACTTGTTAACATGGTGGATGGTCATGTGACCTGTAGGCTCAGTCCTGATGAGGGAGCCATCTTTATAGAAACCAGCTGGGAGGTTGGAGGGAGGGGTCTTTGTTTTACAGTGCAGAGTGACATCCTGTCCCTCCATCACAGGGAGGACAGGACTCTGCAGGATCACTGGTCCACCTCAACACAGAGACAAACTACAGCATTTCATCATTTACACACAGCTTCATCAACACTAACTCCACAGTCTGATCTTACCAGTGACAGTGATGTTGATGGTGTTACTGGTTGCTCCCTCTCTGGACTCACACCAGTAAACTCCACTGTCCCATGTGACTGTCAGAGTGATGCTACAGGAAGAACCAGCTGATCTTCCCCAGCCAGCTCCACACTGAGTCATCTGTCGTCTGGTTGTGTTCCTCCTCAGCGTCCATCCAGCAGAGCTATCGTCCTCATCACATCTCAGAGAGACAGATTTATCTTCAAACAGCTGAGAGCTGCTGGGACTCACAGTCAGAGAGGCTGCAAGAGCTGGTGACATGTAAACATTTTCAATTAAACAAAATAATCTTTTATGCCCTGACACGTTTCACAACCACTGAACTCTCTGCTAAGCTCAGAGTTATTTCAGGTTGACTGCACCCTCTGGTGGCCTTAATGGAAGTCCTGAAATTTACTGGTAGTTAGACGTGCTTTACACTGTTAATACATTCTTGCTGAATGACAAAAGTGGCTTTAAATGATTTAATAGAGAATCTCCTGAATAAAGTCTGGTGAGGTCTGCCCCCATGGTCATAGAGCTGCTTGTGGATGTGATGAATTGTTGAAGGAAATGCCCATATTATTCATACATGTCTTTAATCTATCCATAATATTGTCATTATGATTGTCCATATTGTGAATTTATTTTGCTCTGTACAACATCAATTTCCTCTCTGTCCAGGATGATGTATCCCCTGTTTCTCTTTCTGGGAGAAGTTTTTTCTTATCAGAATCGAGGTTGTAATGTTAAAGGATGTCATATGCTCTACAGATTTTAAAACCCCTTGTGGAAAACTTGATTTGATTACAATTTTTGTTTTCAACTCAATTAAATTTTGCTTATATACCACCAATTCACATCAACAGTTATCTTGTATTGCTTTTCATATAGAGCAGGTTTAGTCCGTACTCTGTGCTATTATTTACAGTCCTAACAATTCCCACCATGAGCAAACACTTGCCAACACAGGCAAGGAAAAACTTCCTATTAAGAGGCAGAAACCTCGAGCAGAACCAGGGCTCAGGGTGGGCGACCATCTGCCTCGACTGGCTGGGGGTGAGCAAATAGACATGTTGACCACTAGAAAAAAATATTTTCCTAGGCGGCATCAGTCATGTTTCTGTCTGTACTCACCCTGGTTTGTTGTGCAGCTCAGCAGTGACGTCAGAACTAAAGAGTGTGAAATGAAACTCAGGTTGGTTTGAAGAAATCAGCAAAAACTGACACCAGATGAAGTGAACGCAGATTATTGTGATAAAAACCAAGTCAAACAAAGAGTAAAGATTATTAGTGACAAGAGAAACAGTGGCATCACAAGTTTAAAATGCCTCCTAAACATTATCAGACCGTCTTAACGTAACATTATTATTAACTAATGTCATGTTAGGGGTTCTGGGACGACACTCAGACATGAACACGCTGTTCAAAACATAAAAAACATAATGTGATTACAGGATTTTAGTCATTAATGCTAAATGATGAAGCAGCCTGATATTACTTACAGAGCAGCCACAGAAGAATAGTTCCCTCCATCCTGACACTGGGTGAAATGAGATCTGCGCTCTGATCACTTCATGTTCATGTAACAGCCTCCTCCTTCCTCTGCGAGTGGCCGGCAGTGTTGTGGTTTTCTCTCCAAAGACTGTGATGAGAAACATTTAGTTGTTTAGTTGCAGTAAAGAAGATGAATTCAGTTTTAACATGAAGCTCTGAGCCACAGCATGAAGTCAAGAGAAACAAAATCTGGACATCAAAAGAAATTCAACACCTGACAGCAGAATAAAATGAAAACTTAGACATCTGTATGATGCCTTCACAGACAGTCGGAAAACTCTGAAGGATGTGTTTGTGGTTTGGTGCATTTATATACTGAGTTCTAACTTAAAGCTGCTCTTTTGAAGGAATTTGGACTTTATTTCTATTAGTTTCAAAGTAAAAATCCTGATTGTAATTATTTTAAAACGTTGATTTGAACAGATATCAGCATGTGAATGCAGAATCTGTAGGTGAGAGACCAGATTCAGGTTTCCGTTTGTAGTCCAGATAGTATTGACAGATCATGTTTGAGCCGGCTTTGGAAGCTTATCTTTCTAAAAACTTATTAAAACTTATAGCTGATGGGTCCTGAGATTGAAAAACACTAGAAACACGCTGCAGCTTCCTGTAGGTGGTAGTTTCGTTGGAAGGAAGTGATTTTGTACCTTCTGTTTTAACCACTGAAATGTGGTCAGAAAGGGACAAAAACATAACAAGTAGCTGCAGGCTGTCAGTCAGCACAGCAGCGTTGTGCTTTCACTGTTTCACTAGAGACACATTACAAAAACATAAAGCACATTTACATGATGAATTTCTAAAGTTTCATCATTAGTCCTTGACTTACATTTGATTTAGCTGATGCTTTTATCCAAAGTAACTTCCAATTGCTATATATGTCAAAAAGGAGAAACAAGGAGTTAAGCATCTGGGGCACAATGGTGAAGTGTTGCAGTAGGAATTGAAACCAGGTCTCTCACACCAAAGGCACATATCTTAACCACTGCGGCATCACCACTCCCTGTTGTGTTCAGGGTTCAGAGGGATTCAGTAGTTGAACATCATCCTGCTGTTGGCCTGACAACGAGACGTCTCTGTAACACAAAGTAAAACATTTTAACACATTTACAAAGTTTCCATATTTTTATTTAAGTGAGTTCATGTTATCTTCAATTGGATGAATTAAGAGGTGATGATGCTGCCATTTCATTTGTGTTTGTAAATGACTTCACCTTCATTTTCACGTAGAGGCGTTCACACAGGCGTAAATTTTATCCAACAGTTTCTCAAGAGCAATTTTAAAGGGACACAAATAATACAGCCACAATATCAATTGTATAGGATACCTGTAGACATCCGTCAAGATAAACACGGAACTACAGCCGTCGAGATAAACACAGAACTACATCCGTCGAGATGAACACGGAACTACAGCCGTCGAGATAAACACGGAGCTACAGCCGTCGAGATAAACACACAACTACAGCCGTCGAGATTTACACGTAACTACAGCCGTCGAGATGAACACAGAAATACAGGCGTCGAGATAAACACAGAACTACAGCCGTCGAGATGAACACAGAAATACAGGCGTCGAGATAAACACGGAACTACAGCCGTCGAGATGAACACGGAGCTACAGCCGTCGAGATGAACACAGAACTACATCCGTCGAGATGAACACGGAACTACAGCCGTCGAGATGAACACGGAACTACAGCCGTCGAGATAAACACAGAACTACATCCGTCGAGATGAACACGGAACTACAGCCGTCGAGATAAACACGGAGCTACAGCCGTCGAGATAAACACACAACTACAGCCGTCGAGATTTACACGTAACTACAGCCGTCGAGATGAACACAGAAATACAGGCGTCGAGATAAACACAGAACTACAGCCGTCGAGATGAACACAGAAATACAGGCGTCGAGATAAACACGGAACTACAGCCGTCGAGATGAACACGGAGCTACAGCCGTCGAGATGAACACAGAACTACATCCGTCGAGATGAACACGGAACTACAGCCGTCGAGATAAACACGGAACTACAGCCGTCGAGATAAACACAGAACTACATCCGTCGAGATGAACACGGAACTACAGCCGTCGAGATAAACACGGAGCTACAGCCGTCGAGATAAACACACAACTACAGCCGTCGAGATTTACACGTAACTACAGCCGTCGAGATGAACACAGAAATACAGGCGTCGAGATAAACACAGAACTACAGCCGTCGAGATGAACACAGAAATACAGGCGTCGAGATAAACACAGAACTACAGCCGTCGAGATGAACACAGAACTACAGCCGTCGAGATGAACACGGAACTACAGCCGTCGAGATGAACACGGAGCTACAGCCGTCGAGATCAACACGGAGCTACAGCCGTCGAGATCAACACGGAACTACAGCCGTCGAGATGAACACGGAACTACGGCCGTCGAGATGAACACGGAGCTACAGCCGTCGAGATGAACACAGAAATACAGCCGTCGAGATGAACACGGAAATACAGCCGTCGAGATCAACACGGAACTACAGCCGTCGAGATCAACACGGAACTACGGCCGTCGAGATAAACACGGAGCTACAGCCATCGAGATGAACACGGAAATACAGCCGTCGAGATGAACACGGAACTACAGCCGTCGAGATAAACACGGAGCTACAGCCATCGAGATGAACACGGAAATACAGCCGTCGAGATGAACACGGAACTACGGCCGTCGAGATAAACACGGAGCTACAGCCATCGAGATGAACACGGAAATACAGCCGTCGAGATAAACACAGAACTACAGCCGTCGAGATGAACACGGAACTACAGCCGTCGAGATGAACACAGAAATACAGGCGTCGAGATAAACACAGAACTACAGCCGTCGAGATGAACACAGAACTACAGCCGTCGAGATGAACACGGAACTACAGCCGTCGAGATGAACACGGAGCTACAGCCGTCGAGATGAACACAGAACTACATCCGTCGAGATGAACACGGAACTACAGCCGTCGAGATAAACACGGAACTACAGCCGTCGAGATAAACACAGAACTACATCCGTCGAGATGAACACGGAACTACAGCCGTCGAGATAAACACGGAGCTACAGCCGTCGAGATAAACACACAACTACAGCCGTCGAGATTTACACGTAACTACAGCCGTCGAGATGAACACAGAAATACAGGCGTCGAGATAAACACAGAACTACAGCCGTCGAGATGAACACAGAAATACAGGCGTCGAGATAAACACAGAACTACAGCCGTCGAGATGAACACGGAACTACAGCCGTCGAGATGAACACGGAACTACAGCCGTCGAGATGAACACGGAACTACAGCCGTCGAGATGAACACGGAGCTACAGCCGTCGAGATCAACACGGAGCTACAGCCGTCGAGATCAACACGGAACTACAGCCGTCGAGATCAACACGGAAATACAGCCGTCGAGATCAACACGGAACTACAGCCGTCGAGATGAACACGGAACTACGGCCGTCGAGATAAACACGGAGCTACAGCCATCGAGATGAACACGGAAATACAGCCGTCGAGATGCACACGGAACTACAGCCGTCGAGATGAACACGGAGCTACAGCCGTCGAGATCAACACGGAACTACAGCCGTCGAGATGAACACGGAACTACGGCCGTCGAGATAAACACGGAGCTACAGCCATCGAGATGAACACGGAAATACAGCCGTCGAGATGAACACGGAACTACAGCCGTCGAGATAAACACGGAGCTACAGCCATCGAGATGAACACGGAAATACAGCCGTCGAGATGAACACGGAACTACGGCCGTCGAGATAAACACGGAGCTACAGCCATCGAGATGAACACGGAAATACAGCCGTCGAGATAAACACAGAACTACGGCCGTCGAGATGAACACGGAACTACAGCCGTCGAGATGAACACAGAAATACAGGCGTCGAGATAAACACAGAACTACAGCCGTCGAGATGAACACGGAACTACAGCCGTCGAGATGAACACGGAACTACAGCCGTCGAGATGAACACAGAACTACATCCGTCGAGATGAACACAGAACTACATCCGTCGAGATGAACACGGAACTACAGCCGTCGAGATAAACACGGAACTACATCCGTCGAGATCAACATGGAACTACAGCCGTCGAGATGAACACGGAACTACGGCCGTCGAGATAAACACGGAGCTACAGCCATCGAGATGAACACGGAAATACAGCCGTCGAGATGAACACGGAACTACAGCCGTCGAGATAAACACGGAGCTACAGCCATCGAGATGAACACGGAAATACAGCCGTCGAGATGAACACGGAACTACGGCCGTCGAGATAAACACGGAGCTACAGCCATCGAGATGAACACGGAAATACAGCCGTCGAGATAAACACAGAACTACAGCCGTCGAGATGAACACGGAACTACAGCCGTCGAGATGAACACAGAAATACAGCCGTCGAGATGAACACAGAACTACAGCCGTCGAGATGAACACAGAACTACAGCTGTCGAGATGAACACGGAACTACAGCCGTCGAGATGAACACGGAGCTACAGCCGTCGAGATAAACACAGAACTACATCCGTCGAGATGAACACGGAACTACAGCCGTCGAGATAAACACGGAGCTACAGCCGTCGAGATAAACACACAACTACAGCCGTCGAGATTTACACGTAACTACAGCCGTCGAGATGAACACAGAAATACAGGCGTCGAGATAAACACAGAACTACAGCCGTCGAGATGAACACAGAAATACAGGCGTCGAGATAAACACAGAACTACAGCCGTCGAGATGAACACAGAACTACAGCCGTCGAGATGAACACAGAACTACAGCCGTCGAGATGAACACGGAACTACAGCCGTCGAGATGAACACGGAACTACAGCCGTCGAGATCAACACGGAGCTACAGCCGTCGAGATCAACACGGAACTACAGCCGTCGAGATCAACACGGAACTACAGCCGTCGAGATCAACACGGAAATACAGCCGTCGAGATCAACACGGAACTACAGCCGTCGAGATGAACACGGAACTACGGCCGTCGAGATAAACACGGAGCTACAGCCATCGAGATGAACACGGAAATACAGCCGTCGAGATGAACACGGAACTACAGCCGTCGAGATAAACACGGAGCTACAGCCATCGAGATGAACACGGAAATACAGCCGTCGAGATGAACACGGAACTACGGCCGTCGAGATAAACACGGAGCTACAGCCATCGAGATGAACACGGAAATACAGCCGTCGAGATGAACACGGAACTACGGCCGTCGAGATGAACACGGAACTACGGCCGTCGAGATAAACACGGAGCTACAGCCGTCGAGATGAACACGGAAATACAGCCGTCGAGATAAACACAGAACTACAGCCGTCGAGATGAACACGGAACTACAGCCGTCGAGATGAACACGGAACTACAGCCGTCGAGATGAACACGGAGCTACAGCCGTCGAGATCAACACGGAACTACGGCCGTCGAGATCAACACGGAACTACGGCCGTCGAGATGAACACGGAGCTACAGCCGTCGAGATGAACACAGAAATACAGCCGTCGAGATGAACACGGAAATACAGCCGTCGAGATCAACACGGAACTACAGCCGTCGAGATGAACACGGAACTACGGCCGTCGAGATAAACACGGAGCTACAGCCATCGAGATGAACACGGAAATACAGCCGTCGAGATGAACACGGAACTACAGCCGTCGAGATAAACACGGAGCTACAGCCATCGAGATGAACACGGAAATACAGCCGTCGAGATGAACACGGAACTACGGCCGTCGAGATAAACACGGAGCTACAGCCATCGAGATGAACACGGAAATACAGCCGTCGAGATAAACACAGAACTACAGCCGTCGAGATGAACACGGAACTACAGCCGTCGAGATGAACACGGAACTACAGCCGTCGAGATGAACACAGAACTACAGACGTCGAGATAAACACAGAACTACAGCCGTCGAGATGAACTACAGCCGTCGAGATGAACACAGTAAACAGCCATCTAAATAAACACAGAACTACAGCCGTCGTGATGAACACAACTACAGCCGTCTAAATAAACACAGAACTACAGCCGTCGTGATGAACACAACTACAGCCGTCGTGATGAACACAACTACAGCCGTCGAAATAAAAAGACGTTCACCTTACGGGCCTTTTCCTCACAAGGTCAAACCGATCCAAGAAAGGTGAAGTGAGGATTTCCAAGCACGTTACCACACGTGACAGGGAAAATATCATTGAACAAATTTCATAATTCCCAGCAAGCCTTTTTACTTCATAGCTTTTGAGAACAAAACAACCAAATCAGTTTCAGGTAGAAATATTTATTTTGATAAAACATTAATTTTTATAACATTTCAATAACAAAAAAACTAAAAATGCTAAAAAAATATATATTATAAATGAAAACTGGGGAGCCATGAACATTAGGCGGTAGTCTTTATAAGGTAGGAGACGGATATAAACATCAGTCATTCTAGCTGTAGAGTAACAGTGGAGTCGGGCCTTGTAGACTAGGGGGCACGAGGGCCTACGAGGATACGCTTGGGGCCTCTGGAGTCGGTTCATCATCATAATTTTTTTGTCATGACTAATTTATTAAAGTCTCAGCACCATCCGTATTAAAGAGAAAATAATAACTTTATGTGACGTTAAAGGGAATAAAATACTACCTACCTGGAGTCCTACATCTGTCCCATTAGTGTTTGTACTGCTGCACAGTCATTTTTAAGTCTATATGTCATTATATTATGTGATGATATTTGATCTGACCAACCCCACTATGGAACAAGTGATAATAATTCACTCTGGTACAAAACCTTCTTACAGGAAATTCCAAGTCCACAAAGTTTCTGAAGAAGATGGCTGTTGTTTACATGTCGCTGTTCCTTTGCTGTCAGGCTTTATGTTCCCGGTTCTGTCGATGGATTTGTGTCACGGTGAGTGTTTCTGTCACAGGTTTTTTTTTGTCCCGGTGAATTGTTTATGTCACTTTTCAGGTGTGTGAATTGTTAAACTGGCGGCTCAGCTCTGAGCGAACAAACTTTAATTACACTAAACCAAACTGTCAGTGACCCAAACTGGCGCTAATAGATACTCTGCGTTATGGACACATTGTTTTCACGTACCGTTACTTTAAATCTGCTTCAGAAAAGACATCTCCGGTGTTTCGGTTTAAGGAGTGGCCATGTTAACTGGTGTCAGTAAACATGTGTCACGTAGAAAAATGATTCAGCCAGTCTAGCCTATCAGCTCTCTCATCTCTGTCGGCGTACAACAGCCAGCCATCACTCTTTAAAACGGGAGACAGCAGATCAACTTGTGACCACAATGTCTGTGTGAACCCAGAACATGTCAGTATTCAGTCCCTTCCCAACCAAGCCGCCGTTTAACACAAAGTTGTTTACAAGATGTTGCAAGATTTATGGCAGTAGCCTACTTAACAGCTGTTTATCCTCATTTGGGTGTTTTATGAATACAAATTTCCCGTAGGGCCTACGGATCACAGAGCACTAATCCCAGTTTACTACATCAATATTTTAAAGTGATATTAGAAATGAAAAGAAATGAAATGAAATCCTAGAATGATGACATCACATGCAAACCTTGTAATTCTGAGGTCACATAGTGACACCATATTTACAACACGTAAGGGATGGCTCTAAATCTGTATCTGAGGGCATGTTTCAAACCTATTACGCTTATAAACATAAATGATTGATCCGATTAGGAATGAATGTGATCCCTGAAACTGAGTTGCAGAGAAGACGTCTCACTCTGTGGGTTATTGAAGTACAGGAACGCTGTGATGGTTGGAACAGAGTGGAGCTTCTTCCCTCACTGACTGAGTATTTTCTCAGTCTGGCCTATAAATCCCAATAAAAAGACCCAAACCAACATATTCTACCAACAAGCCAGATAAGATACAAGACCGCCCTCATTAGGACATCTCTTTCACGCACCGATTGGCTGATGGTGACGAGGAGACACAGATTTTGATCCTTGTCATTTGGACAGTTTAAACTTTTCTGCTCAGTTTTTTCTTCTTGACAGTCGCAGCTTCCCTCGGGCAGCATGTCACTCTGCCGTGTCGAGCTCCCGGCAGTGTCACCATCTTAGCTGTAACTTGGACCAGACCTGACCTGGGGTCAGAATGTGTTTTATTTTTCCGGGATGGGTCATCTAATCCAGACTACCAGCATCCATTTTATGAGAATCTGGCAGACATCGAGCTGAAGGACGATAACCTGTCTTTGATTCTGAAGGATGTAACGAGCAGCGACTATGGGACATACGAGTTAATTAATAACATATTAATAACATATACCTAATTAATTTCTTTAAGAGTGGTTTTTAATGTACGTAGGAATAAAAAATTGATGGTAAAGATCAAGTATTAACTTGCAGTGTTATTAAAAGCAGATACATGAAAACTAAACTTTTTGGGGCTTGCCTTGCAGTGAATTTCTGAATGGGAGATTGGAGGCTATTTGCTGATATCGAGCATGTCGGCTATAAGCCAATAGCTTCTCTTCCCCACCGTCGTTTGCAAATCAATAAATCACAATCAATAATCAAATATCTCTGTCTCAGTCTTTTCAATGTTTTCATGCTTTATCTAGTATTGTTTTTGTATTATTGTCTTTACACTTGTTAAAGCACTTTGTAACTTGTTTTTGAAAAGTGCTCTACAAATAAGGATTATTATTATTATTATTATTATTATAAAATCTCGCTCCAACCTGGTCAGGGCGCCCTTGGATCAGCTCAGACGTGAAATTCTCTGGAGACAGCAGTGATGACATCGTCAATGTTGTCAATCCCTTCTCAGGTCATTTCCTGCAGTCAGAGCAGGTTAGAAAGAAAATGTGGATCATTTATCAGTTAGACACAACTGTGACTCCACCACAGATAACCAAAGTTTGGGTTTAACGCTAAACATGGCACTGACTTGTGTATATATGCTCTAAAGGAAATTGTGAACACATATAGAGATAAAAACTCATCAGTTCTTATGTGTTTTATTGATGCTTCTAAAGCATTTGACCGTGTAAATCATAGTAAATTGTTTAACAAATTAAGAGGGGTGCCCATGTATATTGTGAGAATTTTGGCTTACTGGTATGCCCACCGGACTACGCAAGTGAAATGGGGCAATAGTGTCTCAGCTTTATTTGGGGTTAGCAATGGAGTCAGACAAGGGGGTATTTTGTCACCTGCTCTTTTTAATCTCCATATCTGTCCAGGCAGTTGAGAGCCTGTAATACTGGGTGCATGATTGGTAATTCAATAGTGAATCATATTATGTATGCAGGTGACCTAAGAAGTGCTGGATTACAGCAGCTTTTTACAATATGTTCGGTGTATGGTGTGGAACATGATATCAAATGTAACGCCAATAAGAGTGTCGTCATGATCTGCAGAACTGAAGATGATAAATGTTTGAACTATCCTGATTTTAAATTGGCTAACAGTAAGCTTAGTGTCTGTAATAAGGTGAAATACCTTGGTCATTTTATCACTGATAAAATGACAGATATTTACAGGCACTGTCGCCGGATGTATGCACAAGCCAATATTTTCTTACGTAAATTTAGGGCATGTACGGTTGGTGTAAAGACATCTCTGTTTAAAGCACACCGTTCTATACTGCGCACTTGTGGTCAAATTATTAAAAGGCAAGTCTATTAAAATTTAAAGTAGCATTTAACGACGCAATGAGAATATTACTCACAAGACCAAGATGGTGTAGTGCAAGTGAGATGTTTGTGGCTGCAAGAATAAGGACCTTTCATGCTGCTTTAAGAAACCTAATGTTTAAATTCATGTGCCGGCTTAATGGGTCACAAAATGAAATAATAATTGGCCTTAACTAACATACGGCTAAGTACAATGGAAACACTGCTATAATTGTCTCCTGGTAGAACAATGATTTTCTTTTTAAATCATTTTATACTTTTCATTTTTCTAACCATGATTTACTATGGATTTTTATTTATTTTTTATGTGTAGGTATTTGTGCATTCATGTGCGTTTGTGGATATGTATTTATGTATTGTTGTGGGTAAGATTTGGACCTTGAGTCTGTAATAAAGTTTTGATTGATTGATTGATTATGAATCATCAACACCAGAGTGAGAGTGTGGGACTGAATGAGTAAGAGTGTTACCTGCGGCCCTGCGTCGATATGAAGACACCATGAGTACAGTGGAGATGCAGCAGGGACAGAAGACCACCAGGTGGCGGATCAGTCTGAACACAAGCTGGAGGGGGACTGAGGTGGGGGCTTGTAGGTTTACCTGTAGACAGAATCCACCTGGTCAGGTGAACCTCTGGATGAAGTGAGTCCTCAAATCAAATGTTAGCTCCTCACCTGTGACACAGATCCAGCTGGATGGAGACTCTCCAAGACAATAACAGACATTAATCTACTTCAAACTTTAAATGTTTCTGACATGGATTTATTTCAGTATTGAATAATATGCAGTGTGATAATCAGATGCAAAGAAAACAACTCACAGACTGCGCAGACAGTCAGATTGTCTGTAATCAGAGTTAAATAAATAAATAAATATGAAACAGCCGAACTTTAGATGAGGGTGACGGTGAATCGTAACGTTACCATGACAGCAGCGGGGCAGACATGACTTTTAACATGAAGGCGATGAAGAAATACTTAGAAAATACATTTTAACGGACTACGTGTCCTCACTGAAGTCAAGCCAGCCTCCACTTCGAAAACAACAGTCAAGCCAGCCCTCGCGCTGTTTTGCGTGTTCTTTCTAGGCATTACGGTAACATCGTGTCGCAGCACATTTCAAAATAAAAGTCTTGGCGAATAGCTAAAATATTAGACACTTTCAAGGGCTGTAACTTAAAAATACTATCAGATTGCTCTGATATTGACAGAGGGTCACCCTGAGGTGGCCTGCTGTCACTGTGAAGTGAAATGAGTCAGTGGAAACAGGAGGTTTTCTTTTTACATGAGTTCGAATCTTGGCTGAATGTTTTAAGCTTTCTGTGAGACTGTAATATTTTCTTTAGATACTTGTGGTGTCTTAAGCATTTATTTATTTATTCAATCGTTTCTGCCGCATCAATTGCATTATGTTCAGCAGAAGCTCACTTTTATTTTGAAATGTGCTGCGACACGATGTTACCGTAATGCCTAGAAAAAACACGCATCGCAAAACAGCGCGAGGGCTGGCTTGACTGTCGTTTTCGAAGTGGACGCTGGCTTGACTTCAGTCCCCATTTGCGTTTTTGTTGTTTTACTACCTACACAGTTATTGTAAGTATATATTATATTATTTGATGATTTTTAGGGGAAGACAGCCCTCAGATAGAGGGATCCTCATCCCCCGGACACCCCCGCGATTTCCGCCTATGAGAAAAGAAGAAGAGGAGTTTACAAACAACTTTCTGGAAGTTTCTAGACCCGCCCACGGGATGCATTAGGTGAAAGACATGTCTGCTCTTGTGCTGTTCGGCTTCGTGTTCCCGGTTTTGTCGATGGATTTGTTTCACGGTGAGTGTTTATGTGGAAGGTCTGTCTAGGTTTATTGTTTGCCAGGTGTTGCATGTTTATGAAATTTGTAGAACAGCTGTTTAAACAACAAGTACACTGTTACATCCTGAGGAATCTGTCTGCCAAACTTTACTGCACCATCCATTCATTCAGAATTGTTAAAATGTTTGTTTGCTGTTGGCATTAATATCGTGAGATTTCGTGTTGGCGGGTAATCAAAGAAACAAGTGAAACAAAAAAAAGTCTCGATTAGGGTTTAAACCAGTGGGTCCAGCTTAATGTGGTCTGCAAAACTCCCTCCTGGAGTGTCCGCTGCTTGATGCAGCAAGAGCATCACCTCTGGATCTCTGTTGGCACCATTTTCTCTTATTTAATTGGATCCATAACTGTTGAATGTAAGAATATGAATGTAAGTAAACGGTATCATTGACTATGTCTGACTACTATCATATGATTTGAAATGAAAACATACAGTATATATTTAATTAACATTCTATTGAAGGTCAAAACAGATTTATTGTCATTTATAACCTGTTTTTTATTAATTTAAAACACTTGTTTATAACTGACCTATTTATCTCTATGGAAAATATAAAGTCACTTTGTTTTAGTCACCATTTTGCATTAGAACAACTGAATAGATAATTGGGAAAGCTACTTTTATTTGTTTGTGTGAGCAGTGTGCTGTGAATGTAAGTGTTCTGTTCTGAATAATTATCGCTGTGCTTTTTTAACTCTATACTGGATAATTTGCAATTAACATAAGTTAGTGTCAAAAATCCAAACCTCATATTCTCAGATCATAATGATCTAACGTGTAAAATATATGTGTGGCTTTCAAATGAATATTGTACTTTTATAATAGGTTGCACATGTTTCATGTTAGACTATGCCTTTGGTGCGAGAGACCCGGGTCCAATCCTCCACTGTGACCCATCCACCATTGTGTCCCTGAGCAAGACCCTCGTTGCTCCAGAGGCGTGCGACCTCTGACATGTATAGCAATTGTAAGTCGCTTTGGATAAAAGCATCAGCTAAATGAATAAATGTAAGAGTGGATCTCACCTCACTGCACAGCTAACAGCAGCGTTATGGTCGGACAGGGTTCTTGCACCATTTTAAAAGTCAAATTTAATGCCAAATTTGAAAACAATTTCTTTGATAGAAAAGAGACGCGCGTTTGATCTCTTAATGAACGACACAATGCCATATTTGGCAGTTTTATTTTCACCTCTGGTCAATGACTTTGCATATTCATAGACGGTGTTTACACCTGGCATTAAAATGTATTTTGGGTGATCATGTGTAAATGCACCCGAGACGCATTGAGGATAGATTGTGATCCGATCAGCAAAACGATCTCTGGAGGTGGTCAGGGACACCATGACCACGTGGATGCAAATGTGTTGTCTGTCCACGTACAACAACTACTTGGGTGGAAATATGTACTTCAGTCTTCTGCAAATAAAATCCAAACAGTCCAGACATTGTGTCCATTCAGTGTTGTGCATAAACGTGCTCAAACATTGTAGATTATTGATCTTGCTCATGGTTTTGGTGAACTGATCGTGTCCGTTTGTGAACGTGAACCAGAGCTGGGCAATAAAACAATAATGTTAATTATAGTGATACAATCTTCCTCAATAGAAATATACAAAATTCTGATTTAAATTATTTGAATCTCAAACAAATTAGCACTTTCTTTTCTATTAAGATATTTATTTTGTTGAGGAAATGAATTTTTTTCATGCATATTTGTTGTTTTGGATGTTCAGCTCTGTGAAGGGATCCACTGTTTGATACCAGGCTGCTTTTTGGCATCAAGTGTTTCTCATGTTCTGACCATAAAGAAAAGTTTAAAAGCACAATTAACCATCTGGTTTCTTCAGAAAAATCAGCCTTTAAATTATAATAAATAAATGATTAAATAATGATTTTACTATTTTTTTTCATGTCGCCCATCCCTTACTCATAAACTGATGTGTTAAACTCAATATAAACCACTAAAATAACAGAAAAGAGTAACTTACACATTATAACGAAAGGTAGCAAGAAAACGATGTCGTACCGAACTTAAATTTCACTTTCCGGCCGAGCTAATATACACAGGCGCACTGCTAAAGAGAGGTAAATAATCCACGGAGGAAAACAAATCACGGTGAAAGACACACTTTAGAAAGTTATTTTAACCTGTAGTTATACATAGTTATACATTCATGCCGATAAAGCTAATTTGAATTGAATTGATTGGCTGATGGCGACGAGGAGATGGACACAGATTTTGTTCTTTTTAATTTCTTCTCTGTTTTCTCTTCGTGTCTCAACAGTCCCAGCTTCCCTTGGGCAGAATGTCACTCTGCCGTGTGAAGCTCCCAGCAACATCAACATCGCAGCTGTAATTTGGACCAGAACTAACTTGAGCTCACAATATGTTTTATTATCCCGGGATGGGAATCTTGATACAGACAACCAGCAGCCCTCTTATGAGGACCGGGTGATGCTGGTGGACATCAAGCTGAAGGACGGTAACCTGTCTTTGATTCTGAGCAATGTGACGAGCAGCGACTATGGGACATACAAGTGTTACATAAAAGAGCGCAAAGAGGAAAATAAAATTAATAAACACTTAATCAGCGTGGTCCACCTGACCGGGCCAGTCTCAGGTGAGTTTGATGTATTAAATGTAAAAGATTTTCTGACTAGTAACTCTTTTAGTTCTTGTGAACATCGGGGAATAAAGATTTAAGGCCCTTTCAGACAGGAGGCGACACATTTCTCCAAGCGCTTTGTGGGTAGTAACCATGGCTACAGGTGATTCCTTCCAGTACAAGTATATCTTCTTTATAGCCTAGCTTAAGTTAAAAACATGCATAGCGTTACCTGAAGCATCCAGTTTTGTGGCGAAGCTCTGCCATGCGAATGCCCTCCTGTTGAAGTAAACTGTTACAGATTCAGGAAACACTCAAACGGCGAGCATCAGTCCCTCACCCTTTGATTTGTGCCACGCATGGCGTGGAATACAGTTAAACCCATTTCAGCTTGCGCCTTCTTGTCACTCCGCCTGGCAGACTGTTCACACCTCCCTTCCTGCCCACCCGCCTCTCACTGACCAGATTTGTAACGTCTTTGTTTGACAAAGTAGAAACTTGAACTTCTTTCCAAGCGTTCGGCTCCTTGTTCATCAGTGGATGGAGTACGCGCAGTAGTCAACCGCTGTTGCTGAGATACTATAGGTCAAACCATGAACAGTCGCTGTAGTGCAGGTAGATGATGAGGAAGTAGGGGTTTCCTCCCAGTCATTAGCTAATTGATATTTTCTTCTCTTCAGGTGGAAAGACTGGAAACAGCACGACTGGCCATGCTGAAATGGATTTTACACGAGCGATTGTTGTTGCTGCTGCTGTTGCTGCTGTTGCTGCTGTTGCTGCTGCTGTTGCTCTGATCTGCTCATTCAGATGTACAAAGCAGAATTCACATCTGACTGTTGCTTATGATGCAGCTAAACAGATGCTAAGCATCATCTAAACAGCAGCAGCCTCTGATGTCTTTGGTCCTGAATCTTCTCCGCTATCCTGGCCAAATTTGACCCCGTTTGATGAAAGCAGCACATGGATACCGTGGAGATCTATTCTGTGCGGCTAGCCTGCTCCAGACCAGGTGACCAGCCAGGCTTGATAAATTTAGTTTATGTGTTCACCCCGTGTTATGTCAGGTGGACTGGTCACTCCCAAAGAGTGTCAGTGATATCCTGGGACAGAATGCTGTACAGTCGTACCCCACCTCTCACACAATGCATGCTGGGATAAGCTCCAGCTCTCTGTGAACCTGCACACCAAAGATATTTAAGTTTTTGTACGTGCACTGTGAAGGGTGTAATAATGACCCAGTGAAAGAATGCTCAGTTGAAAAGCATCATGAATTTGTGATGAATATTAGCTGCTACAAGACAAAAAGACAGAGTCCAGCTCTCGCCTTTAGATCTTCACCTGAAACTGGACCAGCGAGTGATCTGACTGATTAAACAACTGATACACGTCTCCTGAACGATGCTGGGGACGCCACACTCATTAGGCTCATCGCTGGCCGGGATGAGTGCGCCTACAGGTGGGAATTTGACCATCTGGTTCCCTGGTGCAGCCAGACCTACCTGGAGCTCAACGCTCATAAGACAAGACAGTGGAGCTGGTTGTAGATCCCCCTTCCCCCTGTGTGACTTCACAGTCGACACCCTGGACACAAACTGTTTCAGCCACAGGAACCGTTTCTTCTGCAGCTGGCCTCATCAGCGAGGCCTGGGACCCCCGCTGACGATGATAATCCCCTCACCCCCCTTACTGTAAATCTATATTGTAATGTGGACAGTCACCAACTGCCATAATGTTTTGTCAAATTAATATATAAATATTTAATATTTAAATATTTAATGTTAATTTATTGTAAAGCTGAGATTTCTGTCACTGCTCCTTCTTTGTTTACTGTAAATAATGTGTTTTGTAATGGTTACAGATACGCACTGAAGCGTGCTGCAAAAAAAGTATTTCTTTGTAGAAAAATGTTGTTTGGACCAATGATATAAAAAGAAATGCTTTAATTTTTATCATGAAATTGTACAGAGACAAAAAAATAAATAAAGTTTACTTAAACCTGTGTTTTGATGGTGAACAGTTTGGGTCATTTTCTTATTGTCTCAGGAGTTAAAGGGACAGTTAAGGAGTTTTCCTCTTACCTGTAGTGTATCAACCGAGACTGTTTTGGTGTGAGTTTCAATGTGTTGATCAACTTTGTTTACCAGAGTTGATTAAGTGAAGAAGGAAAAAAGTTTTACTATTTTATTACTGAGCTTACAGGTCACATGACCATCCAACATGCAGAGATGCTCACAAGTCTCTGAGCTAGAGTCCAAGTCAAGTCTCAAGTCTCTCGTGGTTATTATGAATGTTGTATCACCTGCTCCGTTCAAACCAGGTTGCTAATAAAACTGCAAGGAATTCTGTAACTGTAACCTTATTTTCATTTACAGAGCATGTAATGTGCAATGGCATCACTGACAGCTTAAACTACTGTAAGTCAACACACTCCCCAGTTAACTAAACAAAACTGTGATGTTGAATAATCAACAATAAACCTGTAACCTGTTTTTATCTTACAGAACACAAACATGTGTCTACAATTAATGACTGTTGACTCTCAAACCCAGTGTAAGTTATAATTAAATAAAACTGTAAAGTTACATGGTCAACAATAAAGCTGTAACCTGTTTCTAGCCAACGGTAATAATTAAGGTGACGGCAGCCAGCGGGACGTAAAGGATTACGTTAATTGACCACCACAAGTTTGACCTGGCACAGAACAACACAGAAGGGCCAACTCCTCAGGTCAAGACTCTGCAGTCTACTTACATCTGAAGGACAGAGGACACTCGTTTGAGGACCACCAGGTGCACATTTTAGACAGAGAAGATGGATGGTTTGAAAGAGGTGTCAAGGAAGCATCTACACCAGGGTTGAGAAGCCGTCATTGAACAGAGGAGGGGGTCTACGCCACCACTTATCCCCCACTTACAATGCTGTCCTTTCATCACTTCCCAGGAAACTCAACAAACGTAACCTATTGGCCTCAGGTGAAGATACCAACGATGGTCGTTCAGTCTCAGCCACAGGTAGTCTTAACGACTGTAACTACTGTCGTCACAGCAACCAGGAACACTAACGAACCAGCGGTATCGATGACCCGGGATAACGACCCCACTGAGGTTAAATAGCTGAGTTTCCCTGCCAGTCAGTCAGAACTGAAGAAGTCCTTTGGATGAGGGACGAAACGTCTTCCAGTATCTTCAACCAAGTCCAGTTGCCCTTGATTTTAACCTTCGTTGGATAAGCTCATCATAAGTTTTCTAAAAAATAAACATTGTTCACGAGTCACGCACCTTGAGTCCCGAGTCGAGATTGAAGTCTTTTGAGGACGAGTCTCAAGTCTGAAATCACTGTGTGTGTGACTTAAGTCGTACGCAAGTCTGAGTCTCTAACTCGAGTCCCCATCTCTGCCACCATGTTAACAAGTCTGATGAAGGCCTCTACAAGTGTAACATCAGCGGTCGTGAAGAGTCTCCATCCAGCTGGATCTCTGTCACAGGTGAGGAAGCTGCTCAGCTGTAAATAGGCTTGGCCGGTGTCTAGGTAAATACAGACGATCCTCTTTCCATTAACCTGATGCTAAGATAATGGATTGCGCTGATGTATTGTAATGAAATTCCTCATCGTAGTCAGGCAACGCCACGTGAAACTATATTGCAGCAGTTGGTAAACAACAGACACCATCAGTCACTGACACACTGTAAGCTACACTGCACATTTACTGCTGAACTTCACTGCTCACCTTTTCCTCTTCTCCGCTACATTCACCTGCCGCTCTCTCTCCCTCGCTCACCCACACGCTCACTGAGCAGCTCGTCAGCGCCCGCTGGTGGTGAGATAACGCTTCAGGATCATTAAACTAGAGAAATGCCTCTGCTCGTGTCTGGGAATGTTTTGGGTTTCGTCCCAGTGATAAAGGTGAACCAGCCAACACGGACGAAGCTGTGTGCACATCATCTCCGTTCACTCATAGGTCGTATCCACAGCAACAAGGGTCATCGGGTGCTCCAGCACTTGTAGAAATCATTGCAACTCAAAATGAATGAGGAAAACATATTACGGATATTTGGGTCATTTTCTAAAACAAAATCAGAATTAGCATAAAACCAGGTGGATCAGAAAAATGTGGTGTTATTCTGTATTTTTGGACGAGAAACTTTGGTGTGTTGCTGCCACTGTTTACTTTGTATGAAGGTGACGTGAAGCTTCATGTTTTTATGTGGACTTTTAAAAGTAAGAAATTCATGTAAGTCAAAAAATAATACAAGTAATAGTAAAAGATGATACATAAATAATGTATTTGTATTTTTGACCGCTCAAAGCTTTCATTGTTAATGGTTAGTGTATAGTTCCCTGGGTGAAACTCTCAGGGTGGCGTAGTTGGTAACACATTCAGTACTTCCATTGTAAACGCACACCATCCCTCTTGCCACGGAAGTATGAATGATCTACCTGTTAAAGACGTTTCCTGTTTTGAATTAGAATTTTGATGTTGATGCCATGATTCTGCAATTCTTCCCCACTTCAGGTGTTGTTTAAGCCTTTGCATTTTAACTTTATTATTGTTCAGCTCTTTTTATTTGTTTTACTTTACTTAGTTTGTACTGGTATGCATCATGTAAGTAAGTGTGCAGTAAAACAACGCAACATCTCCCAGAAACTAACGCTGCCAGTGAAGAAAATCAAGGAAGCTGCTACATTTCGTTCAGAGTTGTGTAGAGAAATGTAAGTTTTAGGAGACAGAGGTGACCGTCAAACACTGGAAGCAACATCTCTCAACATTTAGACATCAACACACATCCAGCAGATTGGACTCACCCAGCAGACTCAGGACAGATGTTTCCTCCGTTCTGCACCTGGAATAAGAGCAACACCAGTTTGACAGTAAAAGCCTCCTCCTTCCTCTTTGTACACTACATGTGTGGTTTTCTCTACAGAAGATATGAGAACATGATGAACCCACAGACTAAACCACATGATCACATGGGAACAAAACACTGTGAGAAAAGCTAATTTGCTTTTATTAGATCTAGTGAGATTTAAAAGCTGCAGTTTCTTCTAAAACATCTGAAAAAAAACATTAACACAACTCAAACCAGAACCTGAACAAGTATCAGCTTTCATTTGGACCAAAAACATGTCCACAGCTTTGTACAACAGATTTACACCTGTATCATGATAAGTGTTGGCAGTAACACATTACAAAAGTAACACAATTACAGTAATGTAGGGGAGACCAGGTATGGTTGTAACATGGGGAGAGTTGTAACAACACCAATTCCACCAATTACAAATAAGATAGGAGTCATGAGATCATTTCAGTATTTACCTACTTCTTACCCGATCAGGCATTGTGGTTATTAAGTCTGGAAACAGGCATATTCAGAATATATAGAGGAATTTTGAGGTAAGAAAGTAATATTTTTTGTTTAGTATCTATTGCAGATAGAATTGTTTGACTTATATTAGATTGAAATGTAGTTTCTAAGGCAACATGTGATGCATTTTTTCCTTTCTAATTTCAAACCACTATGCTAATACAGCTAGCTAAAAGCTAGCGGCACTCCAGGGTTACCAGCATTAATTTGTCAGCACTGTGACCACTACTCACATGTTGTACACATGTTGGCATATTTATCGTCACTCGACCTTTTCCATACTCGGTCTTGGCTGGTGGAGAGGGTAGAAAAGCGTATGGGCAGCTTGTGAGAAGTGCCTGTGCGCAAGAAAAAGTACGTACCGGAGAATACCAGCCCTCTTCTAGCACTGACTGTGACTCTGAATAAGACTATACACACATTGAAACACACACACACACACACCTCTTTTTAGTTAGACCTAAGGATGCACAGAGATGTTTTTTAATTAGTATCTTTAAAGTATGTTTATTCTATAGATATATTTACATAAACATACTGTTCATGCACGTGAGTCATCAAGTCTGTTACAGCAAGAGTGAAACATTGTTCTTTGATATCACTACCTGTTTTGGTAGCATATCATGTAGTGTGGCATGATCTATTTTTGATTCTTTTGTGTGATTTTTACTACCTACAGGTACAAATAATACAGCCACAATATTAATTGTATAGGATACGTGTACACAGAGGGAAGCCTTACGACTGTTATAAGTGCAGCATGGAGACACTGATGTTACCAAATCGCCGTAATAAGGGGACCTGCTGTACTTACTCGGTGAGTTGATGCACTGAAAAATGACCTTATGTCCGTTTTTCTTTCATTTTCTCTGTCCAAAACACAAAGCAGTAGTTGTTAGTGATGATCTTGTGTCCTACACATAGTACTTTAGATTTCGTCTGTGTCCGGCAGTGTAAATATTCTCCTTGGGCCTAAAATCA